CTACTTTAGAAGTATTTAACCCTCACACCAGTCTTACAGTCTAAAATTAATATATTTTGTAGGTGAGGAAACTGAAAGTTAGATTATATCATTTACCCAAGGAAGGCAGAGGTAGGATTCCATAGCAGGCTCCGTTGTAGAGCTTACTTCACTGCCTCCTGGTAAACCATCTTTCTGAGCATGACGTAGAGCTAAATGATGACTGTGTTTTGAGACATTTCCACTAAGAAGCTTCTCTGACCCCCTCACCTCTACCTGCTGGGTTAAGTGCTCCTGTGCTTTCGCACTTCTCTGAGCTGGCTTCCATCTTGGTGCTCATCACACAGAACATAATTCTTGGTTTGCTTCTTTCTCTCTCCCACTAGACTGTGCTAGTTGTGTTGGGAATCATATGGTTGATTTCTGAATCCAAAATAGGGTCTTTAATAGATGAGTGACCACAGGTAACTTTCCTAATGCCTCCAGCCTTAGCTTCTATAAAATGGATATAATAATATTACCTATTTTAGGAGTATATTAGTTAATGTAAATTTTTAAAGCCTAATACAGCATCTAGCACATGGTAACTGTTCAATAGATAGTAGCTGCTGCTATTATTGTTATAATTATTGAATAATGTCTTATGCTTTTCAGATCAAAAGGCTCTTACTCTCATTGAATTTCTCTGCAGTACCACCATGATATTTTACTTCCCTCATCTCCATCCAAAGCCAATGAGTTAAGCTGAGGTGGGACACCCCTGCTTCTCCTTCCTCTCTCCAAAAGTAAAACCTTGTCCATGGAGCCCAGAGTGCTTTCCTTTGAGCTTCAAGGGAGTTTTGATGCTGGGCCAGAGAGAGCTGCTTGCTGACAGTGCCCCTGCATGTTGCCACCACGCCCAACGAATTGCACATTTTAATGGCCCTGTGTTGCCCATCAAAAAGCTGTGACGGTTTCCCTGGCCAGTGTGGCTCAGTTGATTGGAGAGTCATCCACACGCTGAAAGGTCACGGGTTCGATTTCCAGTTAGGGCACATACCCACATAGTGGGTTCTATTCCCAGTTGAGGCATGCATGAGGCAAATGATCCATTGTTTCTCTTTCCCACTCCCTAAAATCAACTAAAAAATAAATAGACAAAACAACAACAACAACAACAACAACAACATAAAACTGTAAGGGCTCAGATCCATTCTCCCAAATAAGCAATCTCTCCTGAGGGCTTAGGGGACAGGGGACAAGTGGGCCTCTTCTCTCCGAGTGGTGACTTGGGACAAGGGGAACATGAGAAAACACATTTATAAACTCCCTTTACTATTTGCCAGCCTCAGTGCCAGGTGCTTGGCATTCACTGACCGCTTTATCCTCCTGACAGTTCTGGAGGGAAGGGCCCTCCTCGTTGCCTGGATGCAGCTGAGGTCCCACATGGTGAGGCCATATTGGGTTAGCCACGGACCCGGGACCTGAACCAAAGGGACTTAACTCCCAGCCATGTGTCTCCTCTCTAAGACGTTGCCTTCCAGCTTGGGTTCTGGTTCCAGCTCTCCCTGTGAATAAGCTTTTCAGATAAAGGCCCGTGCCCCTGCTTCCCCTCTGTGCCCCATCACTTCCACTTTAGCACTTAGCCGAGAACTGCGTGTTGTGTTAGGTTAATGCTGGTATAAACACTTCCTGCTGGTAACTGGCTTTGCTCTGGGACAGCGCTGAATTCCTCAAGTGAGAAATCTCTTTTTAAAACGCCCATACGTTTCTCGGTGGTTACGAGACTTGACAGGACCTAACTTTGAATTGACTGAAGCGCTCCTGGCCGTTTAGTCAGCTCCCTGAAGTGGCGCTTCCGTCTGCACCCAGCGCAGCGGCCCAAGGAGCCACGGCAGGACCGCTGCTTCTCCCGGGCAGGGCCCTAGGGTGCCCTGCGCTGGCAGAAAACAGGCCGCCAACCACAGGAGGAGCAAGAGGAGGAGCAGTTTCTGAGTCGAGACTCTGGGTTTGCGGCCCACCTGCCTGTCCATCGTCCGCCTGTCCATCTGTGGGCTAGCCTCCGCCGTCCCAGGTCCCAACTCCCAGACTGGCATGCAGTGCCACGAGGAAGGGAAGCAGGACTAGCACCCTCCCCACCTGCCACTAGCACTTCCCCAAGACCCTGGCCTTCTCAGTCCCAGGGCTCAGCATGGAATAAAAGCAGCCTTAAAAATAGACTTTTTTCAATAGACTTTTTAGAAAGCCCATAAAAAACCCTGGATGTGAAGAAATGGGGCATAAAACTCCAAATGTTTGGAAGCCAAGCTGAAAATGTGATAGCAAGTCTCCGTATCCATTTATTCAATGGGAGCGGGACTTAGCAGTTGCACCTGCATGGGTTCTGAGAGCCACTTCCGCGCTGCACCCTTGTGTGTTAGAAGCATGTTACCCCCGTCCGTGCTGCAGACCTGGAGCAAGGTCCAAAGCTGGCACCCTCTGCAGGAGGGAAGCGTGGAGTGCGAGGCTGACCCGGGGAAACTGGCATCCGGCCCGCCGATCGTGCAGGGGAGGGTCACAGCCCCGCTCCCCCGTTAACGGGCGCGGTTACCGCAATGGAGCCCCGGAGAAGGCACGTGGCGAGCCGTGCGTGCCCCTTCCCTTCGCCGTTGTTTTCATTTTCCTCCCGTGAACCCTGCTACCCTGGCTTCAGCACGGAGGCTGTAAAGGAAGATGGAGAGCCGAGTTACCTCAGAATGATCACTATCGTTAACATTCACGGGTGGTTCACTTATCATTCCTGACTGCACAGACATGGCAGCCGCTCGGAAGCGTCCGCAGGTGTAGCACGGTGATACATATTACATTGTGCCACAATGGATTTATGTATTCTGTAACAAAAGAAAAGTGTAATGAAAAAATACAGAAGGTAATCCTTTATTCCTCCACCGCGCGATTTATCAGTAATGCCTGCGGATGATAAGTGCCAGGGATTTCCTCGGCTGGCTTTAACCTTGTCACCCAGGTACGTTTTGGTAAAACGACAGAAAAATACAGACTAGGGATTTCCTCCTCCCCCCCCACCCCCACCCCCCAGCCCCCGGCTCAAAAGATCTTTTAAAAGGACACTTTTAATTTATGGAAGTTCGTCCAAACATTTGAGCTTTTAGTCCGCCTGTGCTGAGAAAGATAAACATATTGGTGTGAAATAATGGTATCAGCCAGCGGCAGATTAGGAGAGAGTGTAAGCAGTGTATAAGCAGACCCATCTAAAAGAGTTCAGGTGGAACCCAGGCGGATGGAAGTTCGTGAGGCCCAGCCCAGCCCTGTGAGTGAGCACCCGAGAATGTGTGTTCCCTCCTAGGCCCTCCTCATCCATCGCCCGGCATATTGTCACAGGTGGAGCACTCCCTGGCTCGGGAGGAGGGAGCAGGGGAAGCAAGTCTGAACGCCGGATGATTGGCATTCGTTCCAAACACACGCTGGCCCGGCGCCAGAGCAAATACCCCCAAGTTTCTAAATGCACAAGGCACTTTCCATCTCAGTACTCCTGCCAAAGTATCACTTACTGCATCGCTCCCTAAATATAGTTTTGAGAAAAGAGCTATTTCTTATTTTGCTTTGATCAGTAAAATAAACTTTTAAAGATTGTTCTGGGATGGGGTCCAGCTTCTGAGGTAAAGAATGGCCCCGGCTCAGGCATGATTCAGTAACAGAGTGTTCGGGAAAATTAGCCTGACAGTTCTCAGGCCTGCTGTTCGATAGCAAGAACTTGACCAAGTTAAAATGGATGATCGCGCCGGCGAGACCCGCGTCGGCTTTTGCTTTTTAACAAATGGAATGTCAGGGATCAAACAGCACGCCTTGAGGAGCAGGAGGGGTGCGGAGATGTCTTTGTATTAGGGAAGCAAATCGGGTCCTTGGTTTGGAGACCAGCCCCCAGCCCCTGTGGCAAGCCAGCCACCTGGTTGGGTCCAAGCGAGGGCTGAGGCGCCTTCCAGCCCGCCCTGCCACCGGGAAGCTGTCCCCGGGCCGAGCTTGGGGCTTGGCTTTTGTTTCCCATTCCTTGTCAATAGGAAGTTCTGCCATGTTTTTTGGCCACGTGCCCCTGTGAGATCCTTGTGGGGAATGGGAAGGCAACCAGAGTCCTTGTGGCAATTCCCATGTTCCATAGTTGGAAACTTGGGTCCCATTTGTTACACGAGCTTCTTGGAATTGGCCCGTGTTGTCCCGGTGCCCAAGCGTAGTGAGGAGTGTTTGTGATGCTTGCTGTTGCAATTACCATCTTAGCGAAGTTGTGTCTCAACAAAGGCGGGCTTCTGTTTTCAGGATGCTTGTTCCTCACCAGTTTTTTCCTATCTAGATGGGAATCCCATCCTCACCCCCTGAGGTTTGATTGGCTACCGGCTTACAAGTAGTGATGTGTTAGTATTTTGCCTTGTAATTGTTTATGCTTCAGCTAATATTTTGTTCGACCTTTTAGGACTAGGTAGATTAAAACATCCCTACTGAAGTGTACGTAGAGTATCTGTTTTTTAAAAATATAAATATAGGATGTTTCTTATACTGGCTAGTTAAGAAGAGCGTTTTCTTTTCCTTATTCTAAATTGCTTTGGGCCGTCAGATGCCCCCACCCCCATACACACAAACACATACATGGCATTTTTCCTCCAAGGCTCCATGAGCTTTAATATGATGGCAGTCAGTGTCTGCCTGCAGTGACATCTACTGACACAAGCCAAGTTTATCGTTTGTCAATCCTTGCTGCAGGATTTGGCTTGGGAGCCGGTATGAGTGACCCACAAAGACCAATTAGATTCAATTTGAGATAAATTAGAAAAACCTTCCATAACTCTCACCTCTCTTCCACTTGGGACTGTTCATACTGGAATGCTTTTCTGTCTCTGTCTCTCTCTTATGAGAAGTAGCTTTTTTCAGCCTGTTTTTAAATAATTGACCCTTTGATGTTCACTTATTAAAACTTTCTTAAACACAGTGAAGACTGCAGTACCATCTCTCCAGCTGAGTGTTGATGATGATTTCATATTTGTCTTTTCCTACAGAAACGCTGCTCACGGATTCTCCCTCATTCAGGTGGACAACCCAAAGGTCACCATGAGAGAAATCTTGCTCAAGGCAGTGAAGAGAAGAAAAGGATCTCAGAAAATTTCAGGTAGCATAGTTAAATTATACCCTGGCAGTATCAGCTTAAAACCTTGGTTAAAATTGCTTGGTGTGTGCATGTGTGTGCTTGCATGTGCATATGTGCATGTGTGTGATGGCTGGCATCTAGATGTTCCAGATATTGCTGCTAGAAAGTTTGGTTAGCAGGTTTACAGTAAGCAAAGTGACTTACTTACTTACTTATTTATTTGCTTCATCCTCACTGAAGGATATTTTCCATTGATTTTTTTAGAGAGAGTGAAAAGGAGGGAGAGAGACAATCAATTGGTTGCCTTTCACATGCACCCTGTCAAGGGCAGGGGGTTGAATCTGCAACCAAGGTACATGCCCTTGACCAGAATAAACCAGGGACACTTCAACACTCTATCCACTGAGCCAAACCGGCACAAGCATGTCAAACTCTCATGCTTGGGCTAGGGCAACACAGTGATTTTTAAATTACCCCTAAGCCTAAAGAAGGTCCTGGGTCAGTGGCGTATGTGAGAAGGATGTGTTCATATCGGTTATGAAGGTTTGTCATTAATGATTTCTGATAGATGAAGACTAAGCTACTTGAGCTTACTATTAGTTGGTGTAAAACCGTCTTGAAAACCAAATCAGTCCTAAATTTGCAGTATTTCTTTTAATTTCACGGTTTCACATAACTTTCAGTGGGGAAAACTCTTAATTTGCAGTGCTTGCAGTATGAAATAAAAGGGAAAAACTCATTTTTACCAAATGAGGACAACTGCAAAAAAAAAAAAAAATTTTTTTTTTTAAGATAAATCACTTGATTCACAGAAATTCTGTTAATCTGTAATTTCTCATTTCCCAACTTCATACAGAAATTAAGCTTATGGCATTAGCTATGGTATTTAAAGGATATGGGGGGGAAATATTACCAATATAGAGAAAGGATTATTTTGAAAAATAGCTCAAAGATTTGTCAGACCACAGACATCTTTTAATATAAATCAGCCTACATATGACCTGTCAGGTATCTTAGCTTTGTAAGTAAATGAAACTTCTTAAACACCTTTGGTTTCATCTTGTGGAAAGGAAAAACATCATTGTTCAGGTTGAAGAAAATAGTCTTGTGTTCTTTTAAAGGGGAGGCATATAATCTGTTCCAGACTTAATTAGCTATCTTTAGATGAAAGCTGAAGTTTTAATAAAAGTTAGGAGAGATAACACAGTGAAGGACACGGATGAGCTGTCTCAAGGCCATATTCCAGGGGAACGATAAGAGCTGTAAAAAATGGCAGAGGAGAGCAATTGAATGGAGCAATGAAAATCTGATTCTCATAAAAGAGAGAGAGAGAGAGATGCTGGTAGGGGCGGTTGTAGATGAGACCTGCTAGCGTCTGCAAGCAATTTGGATGCTTGCCAGGAGTCATTGTTCACCCTCGGCTGTGGCGGCTCCGTCCAGATGTGCCAACTGCACGTTTCGGCTTTTGCCAGCTGACTGCGCCGTTTGATAACCAGCTCTCTGGATGCCCATCACTGGCCGCAGAGATAGAATTAAATGATGATGATCTTCCCACAAGTTGGGAGAGGAAACAATGCATATAAATCTTGATTTCATCTCAGCATGAGAAGTCTTTATCCATCATCACTCATAATGAACAAGTCGTTAGCTGGGATGAATGGTGTCCTGGTTTTTCCAAACACCTCTTTTGTTCATTTTTTGGGTGACTTTTATCCGTTGCATGGGGGTCAAACCTCTTTGCATTTAGGGATGATTGAAGAGGCATACCCTCCCCTTCCCAGGGGAATGTAGCTACTTTGGAGTTATAGTTGCCAATCTAGTAGCATTTAAACAGCCCCAGATATTTAAAGTTATTAATCACTCATCTTCCTTTAGGGTCCTTGTTTTTTCTCTTTTTTTAATTCCTGAAAATTTTTTTACATAGCACTGTATTTTGTGACAGATCTCTTATAGTCTAAGATAGCATTACTCTGAATTAGTCCAAGAGGAGGTAGAACTAATTTTTTAAACCTTCTTAATAGAAATTGTGCTGTCACAGATAGACCATGAAACCTCTATGAACTTCCTGAGATACTGCTATCCCTCTGTCGCAGCCATCTCTGTCCAACTGGATACCTATTTTTCTCCGTCCATCCTCAGCAGCCACGCTTATCACACACACATTTATTTATGGTCACCTCCATATGCACGCCCCTGATATTTCCGTCAGAGTCTTGGCCATATCCTTGGCCAAGAGTTAGGACTCATCCGAAAAACAGTGACCTGCATTATTTATTCCTTTCATATGAGGGAAGTTGATTGAGATTGGTGCATTTACATAAATTACTGTCCATTTTCTTCATCCAGAAAGCTTTTTAAAAATAAGAAGCCCTTTCTATTGCTTTATTAAGTCCGGTCTCATGAAATAGAAGGATCCACAGTTTGGCCAAGAAATTTACTTAACATCAATTTGGGAAAAGCAGGGTGTATTTTGTATTTTTGAACTTTGTATTGTGGAGTGGGCCTGTTTTGGAGGGTGATTAATGAAAAGACAAAAATCTTGTCAGAGAGGCAAACACAAATACATTTACTTAAAAAATAGAGAAAAATTATGCTAATGTTCACAGTTGGCTGGGAAGTACTTATTACTTACCCATTATGACACATGAACTTAGTTATGAACTTGGTGGCAGATGTCAGGTTAGCCACCCTCCTCGGGACTTCCTAAGCCTCTCGCACAATGACCTTCTCCATCTTTGTAAGAAAGTGCCTGGCTTCCCTACGTTAGAGAGCTCAGCTCTCTTTTCCGACAGCCTTCACCTGTTTGAGCTCAGAAAAGCACTGGTCTCTGAGCTGTCCTTTCTGAATGTCAGTGAGAGAGGAGACATACCACTGGAGACCACACGTGTGCCGTGGGGAGTTGCCAGTTCTCACACTATTTGTTCGTTAGGGGTTAGTTGCATTAGGACAGATTTCAGAAAGCCTTTGACAGGCCGACAGTGAACTTCTAACTTCATCTTTTTGCCAGACTGACAACTCTCCTTTTCATAATAAGGAAAAATTGAAAACTTTTTCATTATTAAATCAAGATGTAGGCCTCATGGTTCTCTCAATGTTTAAATACTCTGTTGCCCTTTTCTCTGGCACTCTCTCCCCAGTTTTCATTTGTAAAAAGAAAAATACAGAAGGTGATAGATATTTGAGCAAAGAATTCTTCTTTGTTCAGGTAAATAGCTTTGTCAATGGAAACGTTCAGGGTTTTAAAATATTTTTGCTTTTTGGGGGGAGAATATCATTCTAGACACTTGTAGTTGTTCTAAGATTTTAACTTGCATTATTTGTAATTATTTCATCAAGTCACAACTATTTATGAACACTGCAGGGTTTTCTCTATTAATATTAATGTACTGAACTGTAGTAAGCTTTTCACAGCATGTTCCAGTCATTTCTCTGCTAAGGCCCATTTTTTAAATGTCTCTTTTAAAGTCTCTCTCCAGCTTTGCATTTTATTACTGACCTACTTGACATTTGGAATCTACCTGTGCTGGCAGCAAGTCCCCACAGTTTAAGAAAAAAAATGTAAATGGAGAATCCAATTTTAGAAGAATTAGCTGAAACCTCTTTACTCATTTTAACAGTTGGGTGGGTGTGTTTTTGACATAATGAAAAGTAGCCTGTCAAGCCCCCTGCTTTAGCTGGTAAAACATACTGACCTTTTATTTAGTGGGGAAAGGCCTTATTTCATCAAGTTTTCCCTTTGTCAAGTTCATCCTCACAATCGGTGACCTTCTGAGCTTCTTAGTATTTTGTTGTTGTTTAAAAATGCTGTTTTCCAGCAACCCTTACCAGCCTGCTGAAGCATGAGGCTGGATATGACAGACACTTGAGAAACTGAAGCAGATCCAATTTCAGTTCCCACATGGCGGCAGAAACACTACATAGGAGTCTCTTCATCTACAAATGAGAGAAGCTTCAAAGTGGGATATTCTGAGCAGCATCATTTTCTGCCCACTCTTTTTCAGTATTAGTTGTCATTATGAAATGGGGATGTTTATTATCTGCTGCAAAGTTGAACCAGAAGCATCTTTTCTTCCTTTTCTTTTTTTTTCTTTTTCTTTTTCTTTACCCCTGTTCATTCTCTCCTTTTAATGTGAAAGGCAAAACTTTTCCTCTTGAAAAGTTCTTACAATGTTGTTAATAAAACTTACGATATTCATTCCTACTTCCCCTTAAAAAATTTCACTTAGAATTTGAAACATAAATGTTAGCTCTGTCAAGTGGACTCCCTCTTAGCATCTCTGTTTAGAGTCATAGACCACCTTCTGCTTGCTAATTTTCTGTGTTTTCACAAGACCCCTCGGCTGTCACAAAGACATAGTCTAGCCTAGGACTTCTCCAGCACTGCCAGGAGCAGAGAGGCGTTGTGAACATCTACCACAGGTGCAGGGTTCGTGTCTGAGGGACGCACAGCCAACGGTGACGTCATTGCATTCTCTCAGTTTTTCTTCAGAATTCATGTAAAATGTGTGTATTTATCCATAATGTATTTGTAGCTGTGTTGTGCATTCACACATTGTGTGCTGCCATGTGCTGACCTGTGCCGGCTGCAGGGAACGGTGGTGAGGCAGATCTTGCTGAGGACTTTACATTCTAGCAGGAGGCTAATTATAAGGGGCTGAGAGAGAATAATAAGGTGCAGGAGCCTGTGGTATAGTATAGGAGCTCCCTGAGACATTGACATTTACACTGTGACCTTCACATTGAAGCCAGCAAGAGTTGGGGAGGGGCAATGACCGTTAAAGCTCACTATATTTTAATATAAAAAGAACATTCCTTTGCAGTCGATTTACTTAACTCTCTTTCCCCCAACTTTAAAAAAAAAAAAGAAAAAAGTAGTAAAATTGATACTAGAATTCTTGACTGTGCTAACTCCCCACGTTACCCATTAGCAAATCCTACCAGCTTTACCTCCTGAGTATATCCTGGACCCATTCAGTCTTTTCCATCCACATTGGATGAGTCCAGATCCACATGTCTTCACC